GTGTTGAAATTGAATTTGTTTGTTCGTTTTTTAAAAATAACTTTGGCAAAAAATAAAAAATAAATTGTTTGTACGAAATTTGGTACCCGGGGATTTCTGACGTGAGAAATCATAATTTTGTATCAATTTTTATTTAACATCTAGATGGTGCTGCGTACACTGTTACTCATATTACACCCTGTATATGATTTCCAAAACAGACGACGTGATATTCTGAAAAAATTCAATTATTGTTCAAACGTATTAGCTTCTGAATAATTTTTCCGATCGTGAATTTCAAATCGAATGCAACCAATTTCAATTACTTTCTAAAACTCCTACTACATGAAGCTTCACAGTTTAGATTTTTTAAACTTATCAATCAATACTTTTTTGCATATTTAGTTTCATTTCGTAGAGATATCTACAAAATAATGCATCCATCATTCATCGGCCAGTATAACTTTACACCATTTTAAATGGTGTAGCAGAATCACACAATCTGTACGTACAGAATAAAACTAGCTAACAGTATTTCAGGCAGCAGCGTAAAAAACTAGAGAGTCCACAAAAAATAATTATAAATTTATCATGCATGATTTTGCAATTTTCCATAAACCACCTTACACGGACATCATTATACGCAATTCATCTATAAATTCATATCAACATAAACTAGCAGCCTTCAATATTCCATTTTCAGAAAGCAAGTTTCAGATATAACTGATTTTCATAAACACATATTGCTGTCAACAATAGTTATGAGCAGTATATTATTGACTGAATTCTTTCTAAAAAATTGTCCAGTTTCAAGTAATGATACCAAACATTCTATATATATATATTATGTAACTCTAACTTACTTTGGTGATTCTACTTATGATATTGCTCGTTTAAAAAAAACAAAGAATTGGAGATAGCCAATAGTGTCGAATAGATCGAGAATATACAAGTTGATTTGTAGTAGTAGTAGTAGTAGTATGAAGTAGTTTTTTGAATGGGACGACAATTCAACATTTGCGAAACAATTTATTGACAGAGGGGCGCGAGTTCCATCACCATTGTGACATATTGCATTTGAAAGAGAAAGGTTCAAAAGTCAATATTTTGGTATGTTTAGAAATCAACAGATTTAAAAATTCGAGATTATTGCTCAATGATCAAATTCGAATTGTTCCTTTTATTGAATCCAGTTCGAAATGAGGAAATTGCTGACTAGTTGGTGAAATCATGGCTCAGGTTAAAATTGCATTCATTCCTTCCCAGTATCATGAGTTATTCCTAGAAAGGTAACTAGTTACGGTAATGAAATTATTATGTTGAAATTCGTCAGGTAGTAATAGTCATAATGAATATTATATTGTATTGCGAAACACGTGTCGCGGTTATGTAAACTTTCAAGTGGAAATCTCACATCAAAGTGTGTTTTTGAATACGATATGAATGTATGGTTATTTAACCTCACCAAACATTTGGTGAGGTTTATTGAATGAAATGAATAAGTTCGTTTTTTTGTAAAAATTTGAATGATAATAGTTAGTTCACTACTTTGAGTGAATTTTATGGGACAGCAGTTAGGTTTTGGCTTTCTACTTCTTCATCTTCATACAAAAAATGTGGAAAACTTCCGATGGACGGGAAAGTTATACAAAAATCACTTTTTCCTATTCAGTTTGTACTCCAAATATTCGTAATGGAATTCAATCAGATATCATTCAGATGATTGCTACACAGTATATCATATAAAAGAGGTGAAATTTCACTTACACGGAAAACTATCATCCTGAATGGAGCACATCGATGTTTCGGAATGAGACACTTACCTTATTGTTCTTCAGCACCAATCTGAATGATATTACAAGATGAAGCACTCAATTCATTAAATTCATCAAATATCATCACAGCTAACCTAATACCTGAAACATATAAATCCAAATGATTTGATTGTGGGGTCTATGACAATGACTGACGTCTAATACTAAAAAAAATTGAAATTTTGGAAAAAATTAATGAAAACTCGAACGAATTATAAGTTTTTTTTGAGCGTGATTAACATGTTTGTATGCCTAACGTTTCCTCTATGAATATAGTAGAATTTAAAATAGAAGACAAGGCAAGGAACAAAGTATTTTTTTATCCTCAATGAACCACTACAGAAATTCTATGGAATGAAGTGAATCTTTCAAAAGCACTATTCCACACCAAAACGAAAACATTGTATACCGAGGTGCGTTTCGACAGCCAAGTTTTCAACATCAAGGAATGACCAAAACTAGTTCTCACAACCAAATTTGCATCTGGATGAATCATCATATTCAATGATGAGGGTCATCATATGAAAATAATCCAATTTCACGCAAATTCGGATCAATCCGTTAATATAAAGGTGAGAGAATTGTTTGAAATTTGGAACCGATACCGATTCTGTGTGTGAAGGATAAAGTTTTGATAAGGTCTTTTCTGTGATTGTCTTCGTATAGAGAACACGTAGTAATAATTCAAATAGTTTTTTTTGATAATCGTCAATCCAAATCACTTTCTACTTTTGAAGTATCTATAGATATAAATTTTATAGAGTATTATATAAAAATATGTTTTTAATTTGATGGTTGTAAGTGAAAAAAATCTGTTTAAAATCTGTTTTCCCCCAATCAGCTGTCACACCTCTAGGAACGATAACCCTCATAAGTCGAAACTTGTGCGAGCTAAGGGCTTACCTTTCAACGTGTGATTCCTGACACGGGTTGGATGATAGCAAGTGAAAATCGGGGCTTGAACGATTTGAGTGAGTGAACAAAGCACCCACGTCGAACCGACCGGCTACCGACCGAAGAGTCATCAAATTTTTTGTATTATAGTTCTGCCTGACAAAATTGAAAATCTAAAATTGTTGAATTGTTGAATCGAAGATCATAAATAAGAAATAACTATAAATTTTGAGCCTTCTTTCTGGAAAAAGAGTTTTATGAAGACGCTGAATTTTTGTTTTCTGATCAACTCATCGACTATGTTGTTACTTTATTTATTTCCTTTGATAACTTTTTTCTGGATATCATGTCTTTCTTCACTCAAGGAGAACGTGACCAGTCAATGGACAAGAAAATGTAGTCCCGCCATTTTTTGTTGTGGAAAATAGTGAGAGCTCTCAGGATTGTATCTGAAAGTGCTAGTTTTCTCTAGAGGCAAGACACAAAATCCTCTACTTTACTCCTACTTGTGTCGAAAATGGCGAATACATCATCCACGTATCGGATCCCAGTCCGTTGAAAGTAATGTAAATACAAATTTGCCCGAGCTTGATGCACTCTTTGACTACATCACCTTATAGTTTATTTATTTCGAAATTATCTTGCAGATATTCAATTGTTTTAGGAAAAGGGACACTGGGAAATAACGAAAAATCATATAAAAAAATACTGAAATCCTACCTCCTCGCAACCTCATATCTGTAATTTTCTCAATGAATTTTTGTGTGGAAAAGATGTACAGACTTCGACTTATAGAAGTGA